GACAGGGACCTTCAGGGGCCTTCTGTGGGCCGGATGAGGGGCTCTGTGGCTGAGCTGCTGGATCAGCTTGGATCATTCTGAGCTTTATATGCTCAGCTACGAACTGGAAATAATTCTAGCACTGTTGTGAAGACCGAAGAAACTGGGCTAACCGCTGTCGGGGCCCCAGAGGCTGGGAGACTTCCTGGAGGAGGGCCACTTGAGCCTAAGCCTTAAATGGATAAAGACCTAATGTAGAGCACAGGGAACTCTGTTATGTGGCAGCCCAGATGGGAGGGGAGTTTGGGGGAGACTGGGTACACATGTATACCTATGGCTGAGTCCCTTTGCTATCCACCTGAATCTATAAGATCTTGTTAATTGGCTATGTGCTTAGTTGCTCAGCCGTGTCTGACTCTTTGTGATCCCATGGACTGTAGCCCGCCAGAATCCTCTGTCCATGGGATTTTCCAGGCGAGAATACTGGAGTGGGTTGTCATTTCCTCCTCCAGGAGATCTTCCTGACCCAGGAATCAAACCTGCATCTCCCGTGTCTCCTGCATTGCAGGCGGATTCTTTACCCACTGAGCCGTTGGGGAAGCCCTTAAAAGGCAAATAAAATTCAGCCTGGTAGAGGAAACGTGGGTGAGGATGGCCAGGGCTAGCGGAGGAAAGGGTGCACCCAGGAGGAGGAACTATGTAAAGCCAAACCTGGGAGGCTGGCCACCGAAGATACTGGATGTTGAATGAGCTAAGCCCACGGTCTCTGGGGAGTGGGAAGGCTGGAGGGCCCCTCCCTTCCATCTGGCACGGAGGGGTTGCTGTTGCCCCCACCCCCACCGCAGCAGCTGGCAGAGCTGGGGCTGTGCCTCCTGCCCGTGCCTTTTCCAGCCACCTCTGGGCTCCCCTGGGCCGGCCCCGCCCCTGGGCTGCGCTGGAGGCAGGGGCGGGGCCAGGCGCCCCAGAGCCGCGGGCGGGAGGGCCGGGGAGCAAGCAGGTGGAGGGCTGGCGGCGGCGGGGCTGCGGTGGCTCGGCCGGCGGGCCTGGAGCTCCGACTCCCACCTCTCCCCTCCCGGCCCGCCCGCCATGCCTGCCAGCCCTTTGCCTTTGCCGGGGCTCCCGCCTGACCAGCCTCCCCTCCCCGTCTGGTTGGGACTTGGGAGCTGAGCCGTCTGGGGCCCTAGGGCCAATGCACTGCCGGCTCCTCCGGGGCCTGGCCGGAGTCCTCCTCACCCTTCTATGCATGGGGCTCCTCTCCCTACGGTACCGCTCAAGCCCGTCCCCGCAGCGTGTGCCCGACACCCCAGAGCTGAGCCCGCCAAGCCCTCGGCCCTCCGAGCTGCAGCTGCACGATGTCTTCATCGCAGTCAAGACGACCCAGGCCTTCCACCACTCCCGCGTGGAGCTGCTGCTCAACACGTGGGTCTCCAGGACCAGGGAACAGGTGACAAGCGGGCGACTGCGGGTCCCAGGAGTGGCCCCTGGTCTGAGGGCTCACAGAGGCCTTTCTACCTCCGACCTGGGGGTTCTCTGGCAGCCCCACGGGAGAAGCTGCTCTCCCACCTGCCCTGCCTGGACTGTGTTCCCGCTCCTCCTTCCTCCCAGGATGGGGGGTCTCCTGCGGCTGTGAGTCCCTCACTGGCCCAAGAGCCAGGCACTCCTCAGGCCCACTGCTTGGTCTTTTGGGGGCCAGGCTACCCTGGGCTCCTACGTCCCTTCTGGGGGTCCCTTCATTCCCTGGTTGTTCTGGAGCAGGCTCTGTGCGTGCCCACCCTGGCCTTGGGGGCAATGGTGGGTGTTGGGCAGCTGGACAGAGGCCTCTGCAAGGTCCTGATTTTTGAAAAGAGCCCTAGCCAGGCTGCCCCCAGGCCAGGCCCTGGGTGCTGTCCTTTGCCCTGGCTGAGGGTGGAGTGCAAGGGCTGAGCCTCTGAGGATGGGACGGTCTGGGTGGGGCCTGTCTGGGGAGAGGGGTGGGGGGCATCCTTTCCGAATTCCTGACAGCCCTGCCCCAACCCTCTGCTGCCAAGGGCGTGCCCCAGGGCAGGGGCATCTCACCTCCTTGTCTCGCTCCCTGTGGGGCAGTTTCTGATAGATGGATGGAGTGGCTGTGTGCTGTGGTGAAAGCAGTGATGAGCAGGAGGCCTGCCTGGCATGTATAGTGGGGATGTGTATGTGTGTTCACATGCGTGTATGCTCACACGCATGGAGCCAGTGTCAGTGTCAGACGTGCCATGACAAGAGGTGTGTGTGTGATGGGGGTGTGGTTTTCTGGGGAGGCAGCTCTGAGTCCCCTCTGGCTCTTCCAGCCCCATGCCCAGTGCCCTTCTCAGGCAAAGTCAGTGATCTGGGGGTGTTGGGAGTCATCTCTAGGGAGGTAGAGGGGCAGATTCGTGTGCGTGCGTGCGCAGACACACACACACACACACACACACACATGCTGTCCCTACTTTGGCGGCTGGCTCAGTGGGAGGAAGTGACGAGCCTTGGGGGGAGGGGGATTGGTTGGAGGCTCCTGGAGACCAAGGATGGGGAGGTGGTGCCTGGAAGAGGCCAGGGCCCACTGACGGGGGGGCACCTTTACCCTGATTTCCTGGTCCTGATATCCCGGCACCCTGGATTAATCCTTTCTTTGCTGGAACCCCCAACATGCCCCAGACTCTTCCCTGGGACACTACGCAGCTTCTCATCTTAGGGAGATTAAGTGGAAGCCACCAAGCCTGGCCCTCCCTGCAGACCTTCCTGTTTATGGTGCTGTGTCTGTGTGTACCCGGGAGCTTGGCCTCACGTGGTCGGAGGCCCTTTCCTGTTTCATCTTGATCGCTATGATGGTGCCCTTGCTCCGGATGAGGATACTGAGGCCAGAGAGGAGGAAGTGCTTGCCAGCATCACCCCAAAGGCCCAAGGGGGCAGAGCCCAGTGGGCCCACCTCTAGGCTGAGGTCCCTCCTTCTCTACTGAGACTGGGGACCCCAGGGCGGCCTGGTCACTTGGGCTTTTAGCCTGGGTGTCCAGGCCTGGCAGGACCAGGTTCGCAGAGGAGAGGCATGCAGACACCCTCTCTGCTCTGAGCTCAATCCCAGATGCTAACCAGGCCGCCAGAGGGAGTACCTGCCAACTGCTCGGCATCTAAGGGACAGCATATTAGTGCATCACTCTACTGAATCCTCACAATAACCTGAGTGGTGGGTATTGATATTTCCATTTTTCAGAGGGGGAGACTTAAAAATTCCCAATTTGTAAGCAGAGGAGGTGTATTCACTCAGCTGGACAATCCCATTTTCCTCTCCCCTGTCCCTAGCACAAGAGGCAGACTCTAGAAATCTTGTCCTTTAAGGCAGATCTGAAAAAAAAAGGAAAGACACTCAAACTGAGGAAGAAGAGAGGAGACAGGGAGACCCACTCTCATCACTACATCTGGGCCCCCTTCATTTCCACCCTTTGGCTCATCTCTCCCTGTGACCTGGGCCAAGGCCGTCCCCCTTTCAACCCTCGGTTTCCCCAGCCGCACAGCGCAGGAGGGTATTAGAGCCGGTCTCAGCTCTGCCATCAGGAGCAGGCCTGAGCTGGTTAACTCCAGGGCTGGGCACCCACTCCAGCTGGTTAAGGGCAGCCGGGTGGCAGGTGGGCCTTTGTGTCAGCGGGCTGGGGCTCGTGTGTGGCCTTTGTCCCAGGCACAGGGGGCGGGCTTGGGGGAAGCACGTTTTGAGATGCAGAGGAGCCTTTCTCTTCCTCACATTCCTCAAGGGCAGGGGTGGGGGGAGCAATGAGAGCCCCACATCTCCCCTCCTCTGCAGCAGATGGCCCCGGGCACCCCCTCCCCCCGACCCCAGTAGACTGTCTGTCCTTTTGTTTTCCTACAAAGTTTTAACCATTGTCAGGATCCCTCCTTGAAACAATCAAATGCAACCCTCTGCTCAGAGAAAACTCTGCCCACTGCTCTGTGCCAACCTCAGAATTCCCAGGGACTGAAACACCAGCCTCATGAGCCCTGCTCAGCCCCCAGACTGTGCTGCGGGGACCCCTCCTTCCCCCCATCCTCACTAACTCATTCCCAGACATTCCCTGGCCCATTTGGCCCACACTCCAGACTGGAGAGTTCCACTATCTGGTGACTGTTTGGTGGCACACATTTGCCGGAGAGCAGGGCAAGAAAAGCCTGGCTTATTTTACAGGCTCCCCCGGGGGCTGTGTTGAAAACAGACTGGAGCGGAGCAGGACTGAACAGAGAGAACAGGGAAAAGGTGACTGCAGCAAAGCAGGCAGGAGGTGACGAGGAGGGATGGACCGTGCGCTGACCATGGAGGCTGCAGGGAGAGCGTGTACCCCAAGCAGTTTGAAAGTTCAGTCAGTTCACTTCAGTCACTCAGTCGTGTCTATTTGCAACCCCATGGACTGCAGCACGCCAGGCTTCCCTGTCCATCACCAACTCCCAGAGTTTACTCAAGCTCATATCCACTGAGTCGGTGATGCCATACAACCATCTCATCCTCTGTCATCCCCTTCTCTTCCTGCCTTCAATCTCTCCCACCATCAGGGTCTTTTCCAATGAGTCACTTCTCTACATCAGGTGGCCAAAATATTGGAGTTTCAGCTTCAGCTTCAGTCCTTCCAATGAATATTCAGGACTGATTTTCTTTAGGATGGACTGGTTGGATCTCCTTGATGTTCAAGGGAATCTCAAGAGTCTTCTCCAACATCACGGTTCAAAAGCATCAATTCTTCGGTACTTGGTTTTCTTTATGGCCCAACTCTCACATCCATACATGACTACTGGAAAAATCATAGCTTTGACTAGACAGACCTTTGTTGGCAAAGTAATGTCTCTGCTTTTTAATATGCTGTCTAGGTTGGTCATAACTTTTCTTCCAAGGAGCAAGCGTCTTTTAATTTCATGGCTGCAGTCACCATCTGCAGTGATTTTGGAGCCCCCCAAAATAAAGTCTGTCACTGTTCCCACTGTTTCCCCATCTATTTGCCATGAAGTGATGGGACCAGATGCCATGATCTTAGTTTTTCTGAATGTTGAGTTTTAAGCCAACTTTTTCACTCTCCTCTTTCACTTTCATCAAGAGGCTCTTTAGCTCTTTAGTTTGAAAGTGGGGTGGATAGAATTTGCTGACAGACTGGATGTGGGTGTGAGAGAAAGAGAGGAGGCATGGTGACCCCCAGATTTGGGGTCCCAGTAAGATAGGGAAGAGTGAGAGAAGCCCAGGTCTGGGGGTGCTCAGGTGTTCAGTGTCCTCAGGCTGGGTCTGAGTGCCTGCTGGGTGGGGCTCCTGGGGGGAAGTCTGGCTGCGCTGGGAGCTGAGAGTGGGGAGAAGTCCTTACCTCTTGCCAACCACACAGCCTCGCTTCATGACTTAGCCTTCATTTTGCCATCTGCAAATCACAACACCTGTCGGGTGTTGTAGAGGGTCAGTGAAGTCATGAGGGACCAGACGTGTGAAAGCTGTGGGTGGGGCACCTCTTCAGTCTGGGAGGTCTGTGAGGGCCCTGACACTTGCACACGGAGTTTGGGTGACTATGAGAGTTGTGACTGTCTCCCTGAATGGTTCGGTGCGCCAGCATGTGCCTCTGTCTACTGACACACACGTGTGTATGTGATTGTGGAGTGGCCAAGTGGGACTGTGATGTGTGTGTGGTTGAAGAAGGTGTGATTCTACCAAGGGCGTGTGACTCTGGTCTGGTGGGTGTTGGTCTGTAAGGGGGATGAATGTGAGACTGATGGGCTGATGTACAACTCGAAGTTGTGTGTCTACAAAAGCGGGCTTGTGTGTGTTATATGGGGGAGGGGGTTGGGTAGCTGAGAAAGCCCTGTTGTCCTAAAGGAGTGTGTGACTGTGACAGGAGTGTATTTCTATCACTGAAGGAGGACAGAGGTCTGATACGTGTGTATCCACCTGGACTTGGCTGTGGGCTGACCCAGGACTCTCCTTGGCTGACCCCTGCCATGACTCTTTTCTCATTCCTAGACGTTCATCTTCACTGACAGCCTGGATGAAGGCCTCCAGGAAAGACTGGGTAACTCTGGGTGGGATGGGGACCCCTCCGTTGTTGTCAGGGAAAGCTAGGGTGGCTGCCTAGGGGTCCCCAGGAAACACGACTGTCTACCCTTGGTATACAGGGATTCCCCCTTTGCCCAGGAGGGGAACAGGAGTCTCCCCTGGAAGCAGTAAGGCCGTGAACACCTGGGTCCCAGCTCAGCGTACTGTCCATTAGTTTCAGGATTCTGGGCAGGTCAGCCCTCCCTGACTTCAGTTTCCCTGTGTAAAATGGGAGTGGATGGACTGCCCCAGGCTCTGTGAGACCCTGCCTTGCTCTGCTTCTCACAGAGAGAGGAGCTGGGCTGACTGGTCCTTCCTTCTCCAGGGCCCCACCTTGTGGTCACCAACTGCTCTGCAGAACACAGCCACCCTGCCCTGTCCTGCAAGATGGCCGCTGAATTTGATGCCTTCTTGGCCAGTGGGCTGAGGTGAGTCTACCTTGGTCTTCACCTTGGTCTTAGGGGGCAAGCATGACCTTTGCCTCAGGCAAAAGTAAAGTTCTGGATCCGGTGAATTGAATCACATGCAGGGCCTTCTGGATCTGTCTCTGGTCAGACCATCTGGGTTCAAATCCTGCTATTCTGGCTGTGTGACCTAGGGCAAGTGTCTTAGCCTTCCTGAGTCTTGGTTCCCAGCTGAGAAGTGGGCACAACTTCTTCATGAGCTTACAGGAGATGTTGCCTGGTACAGGGCTAGGCCTTAAATGTTAACCCCCCTCCAGCCCGTATCTGTTTGTTAATTGACTATGAGGGTGCAGGGGGAGTCTGGCTGACTGGAAGCTCTTGGGAACCCCTTCGAGTTCAAGGTCCCCCATTCCATCCCCACAGATGGTTCTGCCACGTAGATGACGACAACTATCTGAACCCGAGGGCGCTGCTGAAGTTGCTGAAAACCTTCCCCCAGACCAGTGACGTCTACGTAGGCCGGCCTAGCCTGAATCGGCCAATTCACGCTTCGGAGCCGCAACCTCACAACCGCACAGTGGGTCCCTCGCTGCCTCCTCCTTTGTGAACTGGCCGCTGGGGGGCGGGGCAGGGCCCTTCGGGGGGCGGGGTCAGGGGCGGGGCCCTGCAGGGGGCGGGTGCCTTTTCTGGGTTTCAGAACTGGCTGCATCGCTGTATCTGGGTTGTGGCTTCTCTGATCCTGTCTCCTCCTTTATGAAACTGAGAGAGGGGAGACAGGAGATTGAGATAATGCAAGGAAAGCAAAGACTGGCACTGAGTAGGGCCTCAATTACTGAGGAGCAGTGGCTTGTCCTGGTCAAACCGTGAGCATGGTGGGGTGAGCTGAGGTCTCCAGGCTCCACCATCAGGCTTCTAGCCACCTGGTATCACCATGTAGTTGGACGGATTGTTAAAATGCTGAATCTGTTGGACCAGGTGGCAAATTGCGGCTGCCGGGAGCCCCTGAACCCTCCCTTCCCCTAGACAGCTTTCCTCTCTTCAGATTTCACTAATCACCCACAGAGGTATTGACACCTGGCACAAGAGGGTCCCCAGCACCAGCTTCAGCTCCAGGCCTGAATGGACAGATTTAGATTGCCAGATTTAGGAAGCAAATAAACAAAAGGCCAGGAGACTCGTTAATATGACTTTTGCAGAAATAAGAATTTTTTAGTATACGTATATTCCATGTTTTTCCCCCTGTCCCCAGAACCCACCTGGATTCCGGTGTTGTGGTGAGCCAGGCCCCTAGGGCACCCTTGGCCCCCATGAATAGGAAAGCCATGGGTCCCCCTTTCTAGAGGCAATGTCTGGAGCGGGAGCTGGGCCCACTATGGGGCTCTCTCCCTCTCAGGGTCACCATCTGCTTCTCGAGGGAAACCAAGAGCAGGAAACACAAAACCTTAATTATCTGCCGCTCATCAGCCTTTGAGCCCTAATTAAATCCTCCTGGGCCCTGAGGGGTGGTGTGCATGAGCAAGCTGATGCCAGGTGAGCCGAGGGGTCACCCAGGTTCCCATACCACCTCTCCCTGACCTAAAGAGTTGAGAGCTTTGCTCTGAAACCTGACTCCCAGAGCTCATTCCCTAGCCCCGCTCCCTCCTGACTTTGTGACCTTGACTGAAGTCATCTCGCCTCTCTGTGCCTCAGTTTCTTCATCTGTAGAATCAGTGAAAACTGTCGCTACCTCATAGAGTGGTTGTGAGCAAAAGAAGAATTAAGTGAGGTCACCTATTCAAGGGCCAGGATCTCCTGGAGAAGGAAATGGCAACCCACTCCAGTATTCTTGCCTGGAGAATCCCATGGACAGAGGAGCTTGGTGGGCTACAGTCCGTGGGGTTGCAAAGAGTCAGACATGACTGAGCAGCTAAGCACACACAAACATTCAAGGGCTTGGAATGGGATCTGGCACATGGCAGATACTAGTGAGTGTTTTCCACCAGTACCCGATTCAGCTCCATGGGATTCTGAAGAGTCAGACATGACTCGGCGGCTGAGCACGAGCACCTGACTCAGCCCAGCCTCACCTCTGAGCAGTGTTTTTCCCATGCTGGGCACAGGACCCTGCTGGGCACACCCACTCCTCAAACCCACAATGTGCACCAATGCCCTCCTTGTCAGACACCCCACCAGCAGGATCCCAGGACTGCTCCAGAGTGTCCTGGCCAGTTCGGACTGTGGGTGTCCCCCCAGGGTAGGATGGCACAGGGGAAAGGAGGTTTGGCTTGGGGTCAGTCCCAGCTCTGGGACCTCAGCAGGTGACCTCAGTTCTGTGTACCTCGGTCACCTGATCTGTAGCACAGGGCTTGACATGGTTGGTACTTGGGGCTAGGCACTCACATGGTCACTGCTGATGTTACTGTGGTTCTCTGGGAGTCGAAGCCCTGCTCTCATTAATTCATTAAACAAGCATTTATTGGGCACCTCCTGTGTGTTAGGTCCCAAAGAACCTATTCATTCTGCCTAGTTGAGGCCTGACTTCTCTCTAAGAGGGCAGAGTTTCCAGAAGTAAGCTCGTAGAGATCTCGGAGGAGGAGAACACCTCTGGGCCTGGAGAACCATGGGATTTCAGAACTAGAGCCAATGTTGTGCTCACAGGTGACATATCTGAGGTCCAGAGAGGGGCAGGGACTCTTTCAAGGTTATACAGCTGTACAGTGGAGGGGGAAGCCCAGTGTCAGACTTTCCAACTTCCTGTCCAGTACTCTTCTCACTGCTGAATCATGGGAGATAACCAACCCAATGCAACATACATCAATGAAGCGCCAACTGTGGACTTGGGAGAAGGTAACCTTAGGGCACTTTGACTAAGAGATGGTACAGTTGAAAAGGTACCATGTTTCTCAAAAACCTTGAAGAAATTCATGGGTGAATTGACAGGTCCTCACAGAGGAGGCAGAAGAGATCTTGGGCCACAGTGATGCTAGACAAGGGCAGAAAACAGTTTACACCCTAAAAGGGTGGTATTGGTTCAGAGATTGAAATGTCAATGGCTTTACAAGCTGATCCATAAACCCACTAGTGTTTACCATGTGCCGGATCCCATTCCAAGCCCTTGAATGTTTGCCTGCCCTTCTCTTTTTCCTCCATGGGCATAATTTCAGGTTATAACAAGACTCTGCATGTGTGCTAAATCCTTTCAGTCATGTCCGACTCTTTGTGACCCTATGGACTTTAGTCCGCCAGTCTCCTCAGTTCATGGGATTCTCCAGGCAAGAATACTGGAGTGGTTTGCCAATCCTCCTAGGGGATTTTCGCATCCCAGGAATCGAATCTGTGTCTCTTATGTGTCCTGCATTGGCAGGCAGATTCTTTACCACTAGGGCAATCTGAGAAGCCTCATAGCAAGACTCTAGTGAGATGTGAAATATAAAGCTTTTGAGCCATGTTGGTTGTGAATAAGGGGAGGCCTGGCTATTGCCCCCACCCCTAGGCTCACCCTACACTTTGGCTTTCCCCATCTTCCCCCACAGAGGCTGGTACAGTTCTGGTTTGCCACCGGGGGTGCTGGCTTCTGCATCAACCGCAAACTGGCTTTGAAGATGGCCCCTTGGGCCAGGTAAGCAGAGACCTACAGGCAGGTGGGGGAGGTAGAGGTGTGCAGAAAGGAGGAATCGGCTGGTGTGTGGGTGGGGTTTTTGTAGCAGAAAGTGCTTGAAAGTGAGCTAAGGAGACACTACCTCTCATTCCCACTGCATCAGAGTTACACAGTTAGTGGTGAGCAAGCCGCCTGTTACCATCCCTTGGGGGTACACTGCCTAGTGCACACTGCTACACACAGGCAAGCTGTGTAATCTCTAGGAGCCTCAGTGCCCCATCTGTAAAATGGACCTGATAATACAGTGGCCAGTGGTCATTGTAAGGGTTAAATGAGAAAGTGCCTGGGCTGGCACCTGGTAGGAGCCCAGTCAGTATTAGGTTCTGTTTTCAGCCCTCTTCTGACCAATCACTGTCACAAGGGAGGTGAAGGCCAAGTGGAGGAACACTCAGAGGAGGAAGTAGGGCCTTCTACCTGGGGAGAGGAGGGAAGGCTTCATGGAAGAGGTGGCATTTGAGCTGGAATGGTCCTAGAAGAGTGGTGCCAGACTGAAGGCAATTGTGAGAGTAGTGGAAGCCCTCAGTACTGGGTGGGAGTACTGGTATTCTAGAGAGGACATGACAAAGGTCTCTTGAGGTCTGCTGGATTTACTGTTATTAATAGCCACATCAGTGTCACCACCTTGAATTGAGAGTTGACTCTGAGCCAGGCCTATACTTCGCTAAGATTATCACAGCCCCCAGGGAGGAAGGGGCGTTGGCCTTATTTCTACTTGGCTGAAAAAACTAAGTTGCTGAGAGGTTAAGTAAGTGGTTGGTTCAAGGTCACCCAGGCCCAAGGTCTCTCAGCTGCTGGGTTTGGCTCAAGGGCCTGCGTGATTTGCCTCTGCAGCAACCTGCCCTGCCCTGCCCTGGATGGGGGTGCCCTCCGGAGGTAGTTTGTGTCCTGACGGGGAGCAGGAATGCTGTCCTAAGTTCTGTTGATAACAGGTGTATACACATGACTAGGGGTCTCCCTGTGACCCGGATACCCCATCTAGTCTTCTGTCCCCCTCTATGGCACATTTGTGTGAATTAGAAAAAAGTACCCCCTCTGGGCAGTGTGGCCCCCAGGCACAGCCTGGGGAAGGTGACAGAGGATGGGTTTCTGTACCCGCTCAACCCCTCTCTCAGGCATCTTGTGCAGCGGGGCAAGCTGCCCAGCCTGGTCTCTAGGGCGTTCGTGGGGTGCACAGTCAGGTGACGCCCTTGCCAGGAACACTGCTCCTCCCCCGCTTGGCACCTGGCTGACTGCAGATCATCCTGTAAGACTCTGTTTAGAATCTGCTACTGCCATGATTAAATAAAGAGCAAAACAAAAGACTGCCACCTCCTCTGGGAATCTGCTTTGCCCTCCCTGTGTCCCCAGGCCTCGTGCTTTCCTCTGACCTAGCATCAGTCCTCCTCTGAAATGACCTGCTCATCTGTCTGTCTCCGTCCAGCACGGAGGCTGCTGTTGAGGGCAGGAAGCGTTTCTTTCCCATCTCTGTGTCCTCAGCTTCTGTGTCATCAGTTTCTGGCACCAGGTAGACACTCAAACTCAAGAATGAATGAAGGAGCGAATGAAAAGAAAGAGGGAAAAGGAAAGGATACATTAATAAAAGGCTTCATCTCACCATTTCGCCACTTAATCCTCACAACAGCTCTGGCTATTATCATGCCCGTTTTACAGAAGAGAAAACTGAGACTCTCCAAGGCTTATAATGTGCACGAAGCCACACAGTATGCAGGGGTCAGATGCTAGAGCTGCACTCTTCTCTCCCAGCTGGCTGTGGTGGAGGGAGGGTCTTCTGGGAGACAGGAAGGGCTCTAGGTATCAAGGGCCTTTGGCCAGTGGCCGCAGCATGGCTCTGTCCTTCAGTGGCTCCCACTTCATGGACACCTCTGCCCTCATCCGGCTGCCTGACGACTGCACCGTGGGCTACATCGTGGAGTGCAAGCTGGGCGGCCACCTGCAGCCCTGCCCCCTCTTCCACTCCCACCTGGAGACCCTGCAGCTGCTGGAGGCTGCCCAGCTTCCAGAGCAGGTGAGCCAGCCTTGGGGCAGGTGGCAATGGGGGAGGTGTGTGTGTGTGGGGGGCTCTCTCCTTTAATGGGGAAACTGAGTCCCAGCATGGCAAAGGTCCCCCTTAAGGACACGCACTGACTCAGTGCTCTCCACCTCTGACCCTTAAGGGTTGGCATCTGTGATGCTAATATTCTTTGATCTGGTTCCCAAATGCCAGCTGGAGGGACTTGCACAAATGAGAGGAAGCTCATCTTGAGATTCAGACCACTCAGGTCCCTGAACGCCGCATCCTTCCTTCTCATCTCTCTTCAAACTCCCATCCTTACCACACCCTCCTTTTCAATGGCCTCCTCCTTCATCAGAGCTTACCTGGCCACTTCTTACTGCTTTTCCTTCCCACACAGGTGTTATTGGGAAAGATGAGGTCTTCAGTAGGTATGATCCATGTGTAAGGTCAGGCTGGGGGAGGGGTGGTTACCCCTCCCATCACCTGGCAGGTAGTGACTCTGCTGAACTCTGCCTTGCAGATACTGCCCTCCAACTCATGGGTGTCCAGCCCCATAGGGGGTTCTGGCTGGGAAGGCCCCCCGGGAGGCCTTCATGGTATGAGTCAGAGCTCTTTTAGCTGCAAGTGACAGAAAGGCAATAGACTAGTTAAACAGAAAAGGACCTTTATGGGACCATGTACCTGAGAAGGTGAGGGTGTGGCTGACTTGCTCGATCTGGTGAGATCTGGATGCTCATACCCTGTCCCCTCTCTCGGGTGTCCTCCCCTATGCTGGCCCCATTCTCAGGCAGGCTCGCTACTTGTGCTGGCAAGATGGCAGCCCCCGGTTTCCACTCCACCAGTGAGAAGAGAGCTCCTCCTTCTGTCAGACCGCAGGGCTGATGCTCACTGGTCACATGGCTCACTTGGGTCACATGACCTGTTTCCTACCAGAGCCTAGAGCTAATGTTGATTGACCAGACCTAGAACTGGGGTGCAGGTTGGTCCCATTAGGGCCACAGCCAGGAAAGAGGGGCAGAGTTTGGACCAAAACCTGGTTTTGACCAAAACCAGGGTGTTCCCTAAAGTCCCTGCTGTGCCAGACACCACACTGGGGACCTTATCTTTTTTAACTCTCAGGTTCCTCATAACATTCATAGTGAATGGATCTTAACATTATTCCCATTCTACAGATGGAGAAACTGAGGCCCAGAGAGTGGAACTAACTGTGGCTAGTTCAGGACAGAGAGGGACTTGAACCTTGGTGGGTGGCCCCCAAATCCACAATCTTTAACCACTGTGCTTGACTGCCTTTTGACTGGAGTCATCATCCACAGCCTCATTGCTTGTGGAATGATCTGAGGGATTGCTAAGGCCCTAGAGTAGGTCTCAGGAAACCTCATTCCAGGAGCGCAACTTCCTGGAAAGGCACCTTCGCCTCTTGAGCCTCAGTTTCCCAATCTGTAGATGAGGGGATCATTCCAGCCTCTTTAGTAAATGGGACTGTTGAGGGCACCAATGGGATTATGGGAGAATGGGAGGGGATGGGCCCCCGGTGAAACACCCATTACTGATGGTGGAATTTCAGGTGCAGAGACTGGCTTTCTGTGCCGCTCAAAATGTCTTGGGCACCTTCTCTGTTTCTACCAAATGCTGCCCCCTTGTGGGGTCCCTGATGGGACAAACAGCAACCCCCACCTCCCCGCCCCCACCCCCAGCTTCATTGCCTTCTCTGCTTCTCTCTGCACAGGTTACCCTTAGCTACGGCGTCTTTGAGGGGAAACTCAACGTCATTAAGCTCCATGGCCCCTTCTCCCCTGAGGAGGACCCCTCCAGGTGGGTCTGCGGGCTGAAACTGTAGGATGGGAGGACTGGGGCCTGAGGCCAGGGATAGAAAGACAAGGGAACCTGGAGGGAGGGAAGTGAGAGAGGCTAGTAGCTGATAGTACAGAGCTGGGAGTGGATCTCAGTCGCTGCCCTGTCCTGGGCTTACTGTGTGACCTTGGGCAGGGGCCTGCCCAGCCCTCTCTGTATCTTAGTCACCCCATTGGTAGCACAAGGAGGCTGGGCGTCAAGGATCTGAAGGGGATCTCCCAGACCTGATCCTCTGGGATTCTTCAGGAAGCTCTAGAAGACTGAACTGTGTTCACTGAGCAAAGGAGATGCTCTCATGGAGAAATTCCAGGCACTCATGGGGAAATTAAAAAAATTTTTTTCTTAGGCTCTTCGTTTCTTACATGATACTTTTCCATGGACAGAGTTGGAATGAGGGCTAAAATGCCACCTAGGCACCTCCAGTTCTCCCCCCAAACACACCCTGGAGGGATTAGGGCTGCTCAGCTCAGCCCCTTCCATCCCACTCCCAGCCCCTATTGCTGTGGAGCCGTTTAGAGCCTGGTCTGTGACATACTGTGGCAGGGAAGTAAGACCTACTCAAGGAAGTAGAAGAAGCCAGTGTGACTGGTACATGGGAGAAAAGAGGAGAGTGGCATCAGATTCATTTGGGGAGGTGGCATCCCCCGCATCCCCTGGGCCTTCTAGGCTCTGTCCAGACTCTGGACTTACCTGAAGTGCATAACCCATAAGGGAGCATGCACTCCCGCCCCTGAAATCCTGCAGAGCCGACTGTTTGGAGGCAGAGGGCTCACCACTATCCCAAGGCTGCCGGGCCCAGGACTGTGTTGAACAAGTTGGACATTACAAGGAGACAGAATCTGGCTCAATATAGGGGGAAAAAAAATTTCAAGAGAAAAGGAGCTGCTTTATAATGGAGTGAGCTTCTTATCAATAGAGGTGTGCAAGCTATGGTTGTATGTCAGGAGATTTAAAAATTGGTGTTAAATTCTCTCAAAGCCTAAATATTCTAGAATCCATAGGTTCCTGCTTGATGGGGACTCAGGTCACTCAGAGGATGTGGCCTCAGCTGTTCATGGTTTCTCTGGCTTTTGAAGTCTTTACCCATCAGTGGTTCTCAACCAGGGACCATTTTGCACCCCTGCCAAGGGACACTTGGTAGTGTAGGGGGACATTTTTTATTGTTAAGACTCAGCAGGGACTTCCCTGTGGATACAGTGGCTAAGATTCCATGCTCTCAGTGCAGGGGGCCCAGGTTTGACCCCTGGTCGGGGATCTAGATCTCACATGCTGCTACTAAAGATCCTGCATGTTGCAATGAAGATAGAAGGTCCTACATGCCACAGCTGAGACCCAGCACAACCAAATAAGTAAATTAGATAAATAAATATTTAAAAAAAAAATCTCATCTGGCATCTGGCATGTGGAGTACAGGGCTGCTACTAAGCACCCACAATGCCCAGGACAGTCCCCACAACAGAATTATCTGGCTCCTAATATTCACAACGTGCCAAGGTGGAAAAACCCTGCTCCAAACCATCTCTGTGCCATGCTCCCCCAAGAGCCTGTGAGGGTGACTGTCTTATCCATTTCTGGTCTCTCCACAGGTTTCACTCTCTCCACTGTCTCCTCTACCCGGATACTCCCTGGTGCCCGCAGCTGGTGGCCTGACGAACCCTGAACCTCTGGGCAAAGACTGGGCTGAGGCTCTCTGGTTATCCTTAGCTTCCCAGGCAGCCTTGAGGGCCTGTGGCAGGTCTTGTGTGTGGGGGGGGGGCGGGGGGGCAGTCCCTGGCAGGGCCTCTGAGAGATGAACAAGCCCAGGATTGGATGATGACTGGTGCTGAATGCATCTCAAGCCCTGGGGAGGTATGTTGCACAGCCCAGGATTGGGGGCACCAAGTAAGTCCTAGAGAGGCCTCAAAGCCTGGGCCTCCATGGGCCCTGGGCGGCTGAACTGAATGAGGATGGAGGGTCCTTAAGCTACTTGGGCTCAGGAATCCTAACCCTCCAGAGAATTAACTGGGCCCCCTGGGTGTGCAGAGCCCTCAGCTCTGGTCTCTCAGTTCCTCTCCTGGGATCAAGCACTGGGCCACTCACTCCTGGCTTCCTTGGCTGGATCCTCAAGCACTGAGGGGACCCAAGTGGAAGAAGGGCAGAATCCAGAATCTGTGGCAGATAATGCTGTTGCTGACCAGTCTCCAGCCCCTGCTCCCCACCTGATGTTGTTTGGAGCATCAGCATGACCAGACCCAGATGGTGAATCAGAATGGGTCCCAGCCCATCATGATGTTCCTTTTGCTCTCTTTCCCAGCTTCCCTTGCTATTAGGAGCTACTACATGGCCCAGCTGTGGCCAGAGCCAAATCTCTGTCAGTGCGAATTAAGCAAAGCCAATAGAGAGGCTTCTAGGGAAGGCTTTGTAGCCCTATACCCCATCTTTCTGACGCAAATGTGGGTGTGATGTCTGGATCTAGGGCAACCACCTTGCTGCCATGAAGGGAATGCCAAGACAATCATTTTCACAGCTGTCCCTCCCAGTATCTGGTTCTGTAAGAAGATTAAACCCTTATTTGTTTAAGCCTTGCTTGGTTCAGTTTTCTGTTATACACAGTGAAAGTCATTCCTGAGTAGGATGGGAGGATCTTCCATCTGTCTGTCTCAGTGATGTTGATTTTGGGTCCCTGAGCTGGACAGCACTGCCCTGCTCTTGCTGGCTGTGTGACCTGGGGGAATCTGCTTGGCCTCTCTGGCTTGTTTGCTCATTTTACAGATGAGAAAAGGAGTACTTACTTCACGGGTTGTGGGTGAAATGATGCAGGGTTTGTAAAGGGCAGAGCACAGAGTCTGGTATGGAGAAAGGAACGGCTCCGTGAGCAGTGATGGCTAGTAGTGTGTGCTGTGTCATGGTGTGCTGGGATGTATAAGGGTGTGCCCATGCACCCTTCTCTGCTTTTCTGTGCCTAACGATGTATGTGGGACGTATAGATGTGTGTGTGCCTCTGTCACGCCTCTGTGTGAGTGATACGCATGTGAGTGAATACATGTGTGTCATGAGGTGCTGGTTTGCTGAGGACAATACTTCCTTTTATCTGCCTTCAGGGCCTGGGTTGAGGTGGCCAGAGAATCAGGGAAGGCAGAATGGAGCTGAGGGGTTCAGCCTCTGGTATCAGATTAAGGGGCACTTTGACAGCCCAGGTAGGAGCTAAGTAAAGGTAAGTGCCCTTAAAATTTCACGTCCCAAAGAGGTTTCTTGACTGAATGAAAGTGATCGTGGTGAAATTTCAGGCCTGGTGGTGTCTATGGGGAGGGCTAGGAAGAGGATGTGTCTGCTCCCAGCCCGCATCATGCTCAGAGATGTTGAGGGGTTGGGGGTCACAGTGGAGCTCAGGGCAGGGGGGAGGAGGGAACAGAGATCCAGAGGGACAGAAGGGCTTTGATCCAGGCAGCCAGGGCTGGGGGCTTCTTTGAGGCATGTCCTCCAGCCCTCAAGGGACCTTGTCCCTGCCACAACTCTGGGCTGATGGAACTACCGAACCCTGGAGCCTTGGCCCCTTCTCTTCCAAGGAGGAGTCTGACCCCGAGAGGAGCCGCCCTGTACTTGTTAGGTGTGGGGCTTCCTTTCTTTCTGAGTTGACCTAATGCTGGGTGTGTGGGATGCAAGCCGAGTGGGGCGGCCTCTGGGCTTACAGCCTGTAGGGATGGGATGGTGTACTCTATAGCCGCCATCCTCTCCACCCCATGCATGGAGGGCTGCCGGCTGGCCCGCTTTTAGAAGCAATAGCAGATTTATGGGTTGTTCCCAGATCCCGAGGGTCGGGTGGAGGGAACAGGACTCGGGCCATCTGCTGCCTCCATTGTCCCAGAATAGCTACGTAGGGCGGGGAGCAGAGTCAGCAAGGATCAGAACTGGAATGGAGGAAGGAGGGAGCCTGGGATTAACTCCTTGTGAGTCTGTGTGGGAAGGGGGAAGCTGCCTGTAGGCTGTGTTAGGGTGACCTGTGCAGACCCCACAGGCAGGGGCTGGGAGCATGGTGGGGAGGCAAGGTTGAGCCACCTTGTCTTGGCCTTGCCGTACCCCTCAGGCAAGTATTATTCCCATTTTACAGGTTAGGAAACTGAGGCACAGAGAGAGAGAAGGTCCTTGGTCCAGGTCATGGGGCTTTTAGGGGCCAGGGCCAAGGTTTGAGACCCCACAGTGACCATCAGTTCAGGACAACCGTGGCAGGTGGGAGAGCCTCCTCAGGCTGGGCCTCCTTTATCCTCTGCCTCTCAGCCCTTGGGCAGCTGACTTTGCCATTCACTGGCTTCACCTGTGAAATAGAGTGACCTCTACGTAGCCTGCAGCTGTGGTTTTGAGACGCTGCACAAAAAGCTCCTGGGGCAGGTAGTTCCTCAGTAACCACTGTCTCCCGGCTCTCCCCAACCTCAGCGTTCTCAGCCGTAAAAGGGGGTGAAAAGGGCGTTACCGTAGCAGCCTCCTCGCTGGCCTCCCCCCAGACCCCCCTCCACCTTGCTCCTCGTTACTCCTCGTGGGTGCGCAGTTTCTCTGTCTGCCCCAGCCCTCCCTGGAATGGTCCCCCAACTCTGCACGGCTGGATAGCTCTGGTCAAGCCCCAACATCCTCTCCTAGGGAGGCTTTCCTTGATCACCCACCACAAAGTGGCTACGGACCGCCATCACTTCTCTGGGGTAGCTCCCCAGGTGGCTCTGAACCTCGCAGGCACACCCCTTGTGGGTGAACCTGCTTGCTCATGTATTTGTTGCTCGCCCCTGTCTGACTGTTGTCTCTGTGATCCCAAGGATCGTGTTGGTTTTGCTCACTGCTATCACTACCTGGCACGCACTCAACGAATATTTGTGGGATGAGTTGAAAAATGGGTGAGTGAGCTTCTCAGAGCTCTTCCAGCTTGTCAGTTTTTAGAGTCTATGAAAGGTGCTAAAACCCCTTGCGGACAAGATGATGGGGAAGCTTTATAATGGAAAGATCAAGTTGGTAACATTGACCATTTCTTTATAGTATCATGCACAAAGGGAAAAATCTGACCTTAAGTGCTCCTGATTATAGTGCATTAGGAAGGACACAGCTTCACCCAGGAAGTCTGCTTGCCAAAGTAGTTGACCCCACATATCAACCCTCTCGATCTAAATATCAGTCTCCAGGAAATGGGGGGAGGGCACAGTAGAACATGTTAAATGACACCATGAGGGTTCAACCAGGCAAATCAACAATGGGGACAATTCTACAGACAAAGACCTGGTTTCTTCAACAACTAAAATACCATAAAAAAGGTAGGAGGAAGGAATGCTAGACATTAAAAGAGATTTAAGAGTCATAGCAACAGAATAGAGTGCCTGGATCTTGTTAAGATCCTGGTTCAAATAAATGGATCCTAAAAAGACATTTTTTTGAGAAAAATAAGGAAATTTGAAAATGGACTTCCTATTAGTCTTAAGAAATTGTTCATTTTATTAGCTATGATAATGAGGTTACTTTTTCAGAAATATTCTAATATGTGAGAGATGCATTCTGAAATATATTTGGGTGAAATGATATATTGTCCATATTTTTTTTTAAAGAGATGCTTGGGGGCAAGGAATGAAATAAGTATGTTAAAGTGGGGATAGTTGTTGAAGTAGGGTGGTGGGCACACAGGGGTTCATTCTTACTATTTTCTTTACTTGGGTGTGTGTTTGAAATTTTCCGTCATAAAAAGTAAAATTAAATAAATAAGAAGGCCGTGGATATTCTATTTTGCTGTCTATGGCCCTCCCCTCTCCCCTTTTTAACTTTCTCCCTCCCCTCCCCCCTCCTCCATGCCCCACATTCAGGCCAGAGAACATCTGTTCTCATCAGACACTGCTGTCCTGACTCTACTTTCTGTTCTCCCCAAACACCCAGAGAAAGGAGAGGCAGACCTTGACTGGAGGCTGGCCCCTTCCTGACTTGCATGTTGCCTGTTTCCTGGTTTCTCTGAGGCCCATCCTGATTTCTTTTGGTTCTGAGCACTGGTCCCAGCTGCTTCATAGCCCAGCAGCACTTTCCTTGGGCTGTCACAGTGACAGTCACAGCCATCACTTACCACTGCCCCTAGTCACCCATCCAATAAGAGTTTACTGCTCAGCTCCTCTGGTGGGAGTGTCTGAGATTCCTGTGTTAGAGATTACACAGGGGAGTCAGGTGTAAGCCCTACTCTCAAAAGGGAGCTCAGATCCCAGTTGGAGCAGTATTAAAAACATGGCTTATCATGTAATTGATGATGAAATGTGACCATAGGGCAGAAGAAGGAGGACTCATTTCTAGGGGCAGCAGGAATCAGGAAGGTCTCCGTCTGGAGCCAGGAAGATGTCAGACTGAACAAAATGCGTTACATCCTGCCTTGCAGATAAGTCTAGGGAGACCCGAAGGAAAGTGAAAATGCTAGTTATGGTCGTGAGTACTACTGTCTTCATGTGCCTACTTATTTCACCATGCAGGGTAAAGGTGAAGTATATATGTACTTAGCCCCATGTCCACATAAAACACTTTTCACCCTCTTCCCCTTTCTACATCTCCCCCTGAATGACTGTGTAAATTCTCCCCAGGGCAGAGACCCTGCACATTTCTGTGCCTCATATTACCTGGCACAGTGCCGGACACATAGCAGGCACTTCATGCAGACCAAAGACTAG